GCTAAAAGAATTGACAAAATCCTACACACTGTGCCTTTAAGTAGATACAAATACAGCAGAAATAGGGGCAGCAAGGTATTTAGTTAGTACAGTGGCAGCTAACACTGAGCCAACCCCTACAACCACCACTGACTGTAAGACTAATAATAGAAGCAGGTTTCCATAGGATGTGATCACCTTAGTTTTAAAATGAACCCCATAACCCCACCTCAATTGTCACCAGGTCACACAAGTGGCTCTGTAGCTTCATTTGACAAAAATCCAGAATATCTGTTACACCACACCTGATTTACAACACCTTGAAAACAGCCAATGTTTGACTAAAAATCAAAACCAATACATATGTCAGTGCGTGAGTGTGCGTGCGCGTGCATCCACACTGGGCCTGAACTTGCTTCTCAAGGACCATGAATATCAAACACCACACCTGGTTTACAACTAATACCTTACATGAACTGAAACAATCGTTTAAAATAAACACCTGGATGAAAACGTATGGTGGTGTGTTTGCGCTCACGCACGCGTGCGCGTGTGAAACGGATCGGCGCACAGGAGGAGACCGAACAGGTGAGCTGATAAGACAGATCTGGATCCTGTCCTCCAAACACGTCTCAGCGTGTCAGGAAGAGAAACGGGAGCTGCTTGTTTTGGTCACTCTGGATGTAAATCAATATTTATTCCATCGATGTTCACCTGATTTATGTCATCTGTGTCCCGCAACAGCGTGTGAAGCAAGCAGATCAATAAGACTGAAGGACACACATGCAGGAGAAGCTGAGCCCCAGCAGCTGCCTCACCAACATTAATGTGACCTTTAATAACTCAGCTCTGACCAACACGCGCTAAACGCACGAGCTGCTCCGGAGGACAGACTACCAGCGCACAAAACCAGCTTACTTTAAGACGGCGCTGTCCCCTTGTCTCACGGTGATGTTATCCTTCAGAACCGAGTCTCCGCTCCTCGCCGGAACTCCTGCAGGTACGAGGAAGAACAGTTTAAGTCCGAGGACCAGCAGGCATTTCCCGGGCGCTGGCAGCCACGCGCACATCCCCATGATGGTGGTGACGGTGTTTATCCGCTGCTGTCACTGCGCAACTTCTAGGAAAACTTAAAGCCGTCGAGTTGTATTCCTCGGATAATCAGAGGCGTCGCGGATGMTTTTTTTTTTCTTTCTCCCCCCTCTCCTCTCCTCGCGCTTCTCTCTGGATCCTCCGTGAAATCGATGCTCTGTCTCAGCCAAGACGCCGGTGTTTGTCCTCCCTCCCTCCGCGTTCCAGTTTCTGTGTGTCGTCTGGATGAGACGGAGGAGAGCTGAGAGCATCCAGACCAACAACAAGCATAATGGGCTTTATGCTCCTCCCCCTCCCCCACTCTGTCTCCAGGTACCCTTCACATGTGGACCATGTGTTTCCCATGTAGGTTGTCTGTCTCTAGGGTGGACCTCCAGTTGGGAAATTACTTCTAATTGTACAGTAAACGATTAAAATTGTATAAAAAATAAAATAAAAAAGCACAATAAAGGGAGATGCTTTTCTAGGAATCCCCAATTAGTTGTAACATTAGACTTTATTTAATAAACATATACTTTAACTGTAAAATAAAGTCTGTCAAAATACTGTAGGATGTTCCGTTTTTATGATGTTTAAACTAAAAGTTTAAAAATCTATTACATGGATGGGGCCATTTTGTTTACATGCAAAGCATTCTGGGTAAATGTTGGCATCAACTAGGTCATCGGCACGAGGCTGCTAGCGAGCTATATCCACCCTGAAGGTTAATCTTGGACAATATTTGATGATCGACTCTTTTAAATGAAACCAGAGAGCGTTGACAGAGAGGAGAAGGTAGAAATGACTCAGCCTGTAACTGAAAATATGGATGGAGGACAACAAGCTAAACTGAGGTCCTCCATCCATATTTTCAGTTACAGGCTGAGTCATTTCTACCTTCTCCTCTCTGTCAACGCTCTCTGGTTTCATTTAAAAGAGTCGATCATCAAATATTGTCCAAGATTAACCTTCAGGGTGGATATAGCTTGCTAGCAGCCTCACACCAATGACCTAGTTGATGTCGTC